GAGTGTAATTAAAGTGTTTGTCACTGGTCTGAAAATGCAGCAAGTCATCACTTAAGCTCACAAACAACATTAGGAGGGTATATGGTTCTGAAGGTCTGTCTGGTATACTTTGTATGGTACACTTTGCATGGTACACTCTGTCTGGTTACACTGTCTGGTACACTTTGTCTGGTACACTTTGACTGGTACACTCTGGTACACTCTGTCTGGTACACTTTGTCTGGTACACTCTGTCTGGTACACTGTGTCTGGTACACTCTGTCTGGTACACTTTGTCTGGTACACTTTGTCTGGTACACTCTGTCTGGTACACAATGTCTGGTACACTCTGTCTGGTACACTCTGTCTGGTACACTCTGTCTAGTACACTTTGTCTGGTGCACTCTGGTACACTCTGTCTGGTACACTTTGGTATACTTTGTCTGGTACACTTTGATACACTCTGGTATGCACTGTCTGTTACACTTTGTCTGGTATGCACAGTCTGTTACACTTTGTCTGGTACACTTTGCCTGGTACACTCAGGTATGCACTGTCTGGTACACTTTATCTGGTATGCTCTGTCTGGTACACTTTGTCTGGTATGCTCTGTCTGGTACACTTTGTCTGGTATGCCCTGTCTGGTATACTTTGTCTGGTACACTTTGTCTGGTACACTTTGTCTGATACACTCTCTCTTGTACATTTTGTGTTGTACACTTCGTCTGGTACATTGTCTGGTACACTTTGTCTGATACACTTTGTCTGGTATGCTCTGTCTGGTACACATTGTCTGGTATGCACTGTTGGGTACACTTTGTCTGGTACATTCTATCTGGTACACTTTGTCTGATACACTTTGTCTGGTACACTTTGTCTGGTACATTCTATCTGGTACACTTTGACTGATACACTTTGTCTGGTACACTTTGTCTGGTACATTCTGTCTGGTACACTTTGTCTGATACACTTTGTCATGCATTGTTTGGTACAGTTTGTCTGGTATGCACTGTCTGGTACATTTTGTCTGGTATGCTCTGTCTGGCACACTTTGTCTGGTATGCTTTGTCTGGTACACTTTGTTTGGAGAATTTTGGTATGCACTGTCTATTACACTTTGTCTGGTATGCTCTTTTTGGTACACTTTGTCTGGTACTCTCTCTGGTACACTTTGTCTGTTATGCACTGTTTGGTACAATTTGTCTGGTATGCACTGTCTGGTACACTTTGCCTGATATGCTTTGCCTGGTACACTCTGTCTGGTATGCTCTTTCTTGTACACTTTGTCTGGTACACTTTGATCAATAAGTGACACTTGAAATTTTGAAAGTGCTGGAAATAATTACAAGGACACTATTTTGTATTACAGTACAGGCAGGCCGTTTTACAGTGCTTCGCTGTAGAGCATTTCGCTAATACAGCAGTTTTCAATTACAGTAGGGCCCTGCTTTACGGCATTTTGCTTTATGGTGTTCCGCTAATACGGTCATTTCAAATTATGACCAAAACTCGTTATACGGCTCCCCCCACCTGACTTTCTAATATGGTCACTGCGCCCCACCCGGTTTGTTTACATTCTCTGTGAGATCCGTAAGCACTAAGTCTCTCCATTGTGTCTGGAAACTCCAAAATTTTAAGTGTTTTTAAAAGTTATTTCATATTTTATATATACAGTGGACCCCCGCTTTACGATCAGCTCCCAATGCGACCAATTATGTAAGTGTATTTATGTACATGCGTTTGTACGTGTATGTTTGGGGGTCTGAAATGGACTAATCTAATTCACAATATTCCTCATGGGAACAAATTCGTTCAGTAATGGTACCTGAACATACTTCTGGAATGAAATAATATCGTAAACCAGGGGTCCACTGCACTCTGATAATTATACTTATGTATACCTGTACTTAAATAAACTTACATACTGTGCTGGCATGCAGGTACACATTAAAATCAGTAAGAGTGTTTTATGTCTCCAGACTTCATATTAATAATGATAATAATAATCACCGAGTCTCACTTAAATGTCATATATTACGTTAATATACACATTTTCATTAATCCATCTATGATATTTTTTTCAAAATTATATAATAAACACGATGCATAACATATAAATATGATAAATACACCCCACAGTAGAATAAATAAACATAACTAAGAGATGTGGTAGCAGACGACTTGCACAAGTGACGCCATATTAGAAATAATAATAATAACAATAATAATCACCGAGTCTCATTAAATGTCATACAGTGGAACCTCAAAAATCAAACTTAATTCATTCCAGGAGCTAGTTCTAAATTCGAAAAGTCTGAAATTCGAAGCAATATTTCCCATAAGAAATAATGGAAATACAATTAATCCGTTCCAGAAACCCAAAAATATTCACACAAAAAATACATTTTATAGAGATTAATTACAGTTTTACATACAACAAATACTATAGTTTTTAATTATGTATAGTAATACATATAAAATAACATTTTTACTTACCTTTATTGAAGATTGGTGATGGCATCTGGAAGATAGGGAGGAGGAGAGAGGGAGTTGGGGTTAGTGTTTGGAAGGAGAATCCCCCTCCATGAGGACTTCAGGTAAATCCCTCTCTGGGGTTACTTCCCTTCTCTGTCTTTTTATGCCAGTAGGACCAGCTTGAGAGTCACTGGACCCCTGTCTCACAAAATAACTGTCCACAGTCCTCTGTTTCTGGTGCCTCTTTAACATTTCCCTAAAATGGGACATGGTTCTGTCACTGAACTTGTTGCAAAGATGGCTTGTTTCAGCTTGCTCAGGGTGGTACTTCTGCACAAACATTTGGACATCACTCCACTTGGCACAAATCTCCTTAATCTTTGAAGAAGGCACCTCATCCACTCCCTATATTAACACCTTTTGCAACATCAGCTTCCTTGATTTGTTCTTTCTTTGACAGAATAGAACCGATGGTAGACTTGTTTTTCCCATACATCCTGGCAAGCTCAACAAGTCTCACACCACTCTCATACTTCTGTATTATTTCCTTCTTCACATCTATGGTGTTTCTCACTTTCTTTACCACAGGGGTACCACTAGCAAGTTTCTTTAGGCCCATGGCAGCTTATTTCACACTCCCACAAGCACTAAACACAACAAAATAATCATAAAATGCGTGAATGAGAGCGCAGGTTAGTGTTAACTCAAGCATAAACAAAGCTAGACTGCTCACGGCGCCTGTGCGGGGACGTGGACAGAGCGGGCGGCAGACAGATCCCGTACCTAGCAGTCCGAAAATAGGGGCGCGTTCGATAATAGGGACACAGTTTGTCCGAAAAAATGGTCCTATTTTCGAAAATTTCGATATGTGATACGTTCGATTTTTGAGGTTCCGCTGTATATTACGTTAATATACACATTTTCATTAATCCATCCATGATATTATTTTCAAAATTATATAATAAACATGATACCTAACATATAAAGATGATAAATACACCCCACAATAGAATAAATAAACATAAATATGAGATGTGGTAGCCAGATAACTTGTACAAGTGATGCCAAGAATAACATTTTCTCTAATCTAACATAAGAGAAAATGTGTTACTGGGAGGAACTGTAGAAAATTATTCCTTTTGTATGTATGTAAGTAAGTTTATTCAGGTATACACAAATACAGTTACATAGATTATCATACATAACAACATATGTGTAGAGAACCTAGGATAACCCAATAAAGTCAGACAGAGTGACTTATTTCCATTGCCTTCACGCAGAGCATCATTTCTTCTCAAAATGATGTAACATGAGAATGGGAGTGTTCTTCTTTATTTATTCTACTGTATCAATGTACAACCTGTGTACAACCTGTACACAATGTAACTTGTACACAAACCAGACGTGTACACTTTGTTTGTTTACAAAACTTACCTTCGCCTGGTTTGTTTACATAACTCTGCGCCTGTCCTCTCTCATGCACTCATTATTTCTCTCTCTCATTTATTCGTTTTATCTCATTTACTTACTCCTGACCCTACATTAAGACTACAAATATTTTAAGGTAAGTAATGAGTGAACTGTATATACATTTTATCACTCTGGGAAGCTTAAATATCATAGAATATTTATGTGTGGGTGGGTTGGCCTGGTAAGGTAGCCTGGCTGATTACCATACATACCACACTTGATTTTATACAATAAACACTACTCATCTCACCCTAGATTAAGACTACAAATATTTTAAAGTAAGTAATGAGTAAACTGCATATGCATATTATCGCTCTGGGATGCTTAAATGTAATTGAATATTATGTGTAGGTGGGGTGGCCTGGTATGGTAGCCTGGCTGACTACCATACATACCACACTTGATTTCTTACAATAAATACTACTTGTCTCACCCTAGAATAAGACTATAAATATTTTAAGGTAAGTAATGAGTGTACTATGTGTGTATTGTACTTTTTTATTGATTTTTGATGCCTGGTTCTATTGCTAACTTAATATATGTTAGTGTAAACTTGTTATCTAGTATTTGTATGCATTTATAAGTGGAAAAAAGGGTGTTGGGTGTTCCACTTTACGGTGATTTCCGCTTTACGGCGGTAGCCTGGAACCTAACCTGCCGTATAAGTGGGGCCCTACTGTATACCCATTCTTCATAGACTGAGACTTCCTACCATTAATATATTCACTACCCACTGTATGCTAAGACTGAAAATATTTTAAGGTAAGTAATGTGTGTACTGTATATGGATTTTTAGGCCTAGCTCTATTGCTCACTTAATACAAGATAGTGTAAATATGTTATCAGGCATTAACATGCATTTGAAAGTGAAAAAAATACTATGTTTCACCTTACAGCAATTTTCACTTTAGAGCAGTAGCCCTGGACCTAATGTGCTGTATAAGCGGGGCCTGCCTGTATTAGCAAATTCTAATTCTGAGGAGCTTCTAGGAACATAAGCTACACATACAATTAGTATCTGACTGTACAATACACTACAGCAAATAATGAAGTAAAATACTTATAAAGGGACTCACTTCTTTTTGGTTCGTCTATCAATATCAGCTTTTTGTCCTAAACCAGCTAGGGATAAGGAGTCTGAGGAGCCAATGTCACCATCACTGTAGATCCCTGAAGAACTCAAGCCTGAGCCTGGGTGTTGCTGGAGCGCATCCTTCATCTTCCCTTGCTGCAAAGTAATCATAACCTTCATATACAAATTAAGACATATGCACTACATACAATTTTATGTGTAATGAGAGACAGAAGAAGACTACATTCTGTATGTGATATTTTGTATAATTATCTAATTTTAATTACTGTATTCAGCTGTGGTGAGAGTAGCAGAGTTATGCTCGTGGTGTCCCAGCAACATTATAGTGACATTATAGTTACATTCTTTTAATTAGTCAATAGTTTTCACAACATGTAGTGTAACTGTGCATCTCCTAGTGGAGATCTTTACAGTTATCTGCCTGTACTTTAACCCCTTCAGGGTCGGCAGGCCCTCTCCTAAACTTGTTCTCAGGGTCAGAAATTTTTCAAAAAAAAAAAAAAAAAAAAAAAAATTCTTACGAAATGATAGAGAATCTTTTCCCGATCATAATGACACCAAAAGTATGAAATCTGATGGAAAACTTACGGAATTATGCTCTCGCAAAGTTAGCGGTCTCGACGATGTTTAGGCATCGGCGATTTCGCCCACTTTGAGCCCTATTTTCGGCCAATTCCAATGTACCAGTCAACAAAAATCATTAATATTTCACTAGAACTCCATTTTTTTCTATCGAATGAGTACAAGAAACAACCCATTTATCGATTTTAACTATCCAATAAAGTGGTCTGAAACTGGCAATTTTGCCAAATTTCAAAAGATGCCAATTTCCAAATAGGGTCCAGAATAAACAAGACAGACATTCCTGGCACTAAAATAACATTTCCTTTGTTCATTAGTCACGTCCTCAGGCCCCTCTTACATTTCTTTTGCTTTCCACTTAGGATTTTTATTCTCACAAAAAAATAGAAGATTTACTGTTATGCAGACTACTGCATTAGTGTAGAAATGGTATAAATAATATCAGTGCACTTGTGAAAGAATATTAGACACCAGTTGATGTGTATTGGACGCATGACATGATTTGTTTACTTTTGAACTTTGGCAAAAATCGAACATTTCTGCTACTTTGAGCTCAATTTCAAGGTACTTTTCATTGTGAAACCAATAAAAATCATCTCAATTCCCGTAATATGTCTTCCATTCTATAAAATGAGACCAGGGAAACTAGAATACAACCATAAATAGCATACAAAAATACACTGCAAAGTCACTGTTTTAAACCAAAAACACGGTTGGAGTTTTTTTTCTCATTATGCACTGTGTGCTGCAGGATTTTTTTTTATCCTGCGCACACTGACCACATAGACCCATTCTTTCATATGTAGGCCTACCATCTTTCTCTTGCTAGATCTGAAGGCACTAGAATTTATGTGTACCAGTGCATTGAGAGTGTGTGTATACAATAGTGGGTTGCAATGCAAAGAGAGCCTCTATTATGCCTTGGCATTATGGGACAACTTAACATTATTGGCTTACATTCTACTTAGTATAACACCAACCCTGGCGTGCAAGCTGTACTAGTATGGCACCAACCCTGAAATGGTTAAAAAGCCTTTCAAAAATGTCATTCCGGAACTACTTTTTTTTCATAATTTAAAATTATGATTTCTTTTTCTCATTTCTAGTTAACAAAAAATTTTCCCTAGATTCTAGTATGCTTTTTATAAACTACTTATGTAGTTATAGCTCATCTTACCCTTGCATTCTTAGCCATAGAATCTACAGTTGCCCCTCTGTTTTCGTTAGCCTCTGATCTCGTGATTTTCGGTTACTGCTGATTGTTTTTGTCAAAATATAGTCTGTTTTCATTAATTCCTTCTGGTTTCATCAATCATATGGAACACGCCTGAGTGCTGTGCGCACACAAAGCCTCCCACACACACATTCTGAGTCAGTGTGGCATTGTTTCTCGGCGAGTGAACATTACCCTGCAAGGTCATATGAAACATTTCGTAATAATCCATTGTTTTTTGCGCTATTTATTGTGTGTGACTGCTAAATAAGCCACCATGGGCCCAAAGAAAGCTCCTAATGCCAACCCTCTGGTGAAGAAGGTGAGAAACACAATAGAATTCAAGAACTTGTAGCAAAGTACCAAAGTGGAGGAAGAGAGAGGGGAGAATGTGCCTTCTTCAGTGATTCTACGATATGTACAATACTAAAGCAGCAGGAGTCGATAAAGGTTTTAGCGCCAGCCAGCGATAAGGTGTAGCAAGTAAGTTAAGCGATTAAGCGTTAGAAAAAGGACATGAAAATAACTCCTCCAAAGTTGTTGAAGGTATATAGGGCCACTGACAACATACGCCACCCTGCGTATCTTCCACCACCCTAAACCAATGCCACCATCTCCTCCAAGGTAAGTGTAAATATTTCTTATTTATAAAGTGTGAATATTTCTTATTTATAAATTAAAGTGTAAATATTTCTTATTTATAAATTAAAGTGCAAATATTTCTTCTTTCTTTCTTTCAACACAACGGCTGTATCCCACCAAGGCAGGGTGGCCCAAAAGGAAAAATGAAAGTTTCTCCTTTTACACTTAGTAATATATACAGGAGAAGGGGCTACTAGCCCCTTGCTCCCGGCATTTTAGTCGCCTCTTATAACACGCATGGCTTACGGAGGAAGAATTCTGTTCCACTTTCCCATGGAGGTAAGACAAAATAAACAAGAACTAGAAAGAAAATAGAAGAAAACCCAGAGGGGTGTGTGTATATATGTTTGTACATGTATGTGTAGTGTGACCTAAGTGTAAGTAGAAGTAGCAAGATGTACCTGAAATCTTGCATGTTTATGAGACAGAAAAAAGACACCAGCAATCCTACCATCATGTAAAACAAATACAGGCTTTCATTTTACACTCACTTGGCAGGATGGTAGTATGTCCCTGGGTGGTTGCTGTCTACCAACCTACTACCTAGAAATATTTCTTATTTATAAATTAAAGTGTAAATATTTCTTATTTATAAATTACATACATTGTTTCAGTGTGACTAATGGTGGTGGCCTCTGCTGCCACCACTATATTTACGGCTTATGCTATCAGTGGCCCTTATAAACCCAACAACAACACCCCCACTCATCACATATGTAATTATTATTATTATCACACTGGCCGATTCCCACCAAGGCAGGGTGGCCCGAAAAAGAAAAACTTTCACCATCATTCACTCCATCACTGTCTTGCCAGAAGGGTGCTTTACACTACAGTTTTTAAACTGCAACATTTACACCCCTCCTTCAGAGTGCAGGCACTGTACTTCCCATCTCCAGGACTCAAGTCCGGCCTGCCGGTTTCCCTGAACCCCTTCATAAATGTTACTTTGCTCACACTCCAACAGCACGTCAAGTATTAAAAACCATTTGTCTCCATTCACTCCTATCAAACACGCTCACGCATGCCTGCTGGAAGTCCAAGCCCCTCGCACACAAAACCTCCTTTACCCCCTCCCTCCAACCTTTCCTAGGCCGACCCCTACCCCGCCTTCCTTCCACTACAGACTGATACACTCTTGAAGTCATTCTGTTTCGCTCCATTCTCTCTACATGTCCGAACCACCTCAACAACCCTTCCTCAGCCCTCTGGACAACAGTTTTGGTAATCCCGCACCTCCTCCTAACTTCCAAACTACGAATTCTCTGCATTATATTCACACCACACATTGCCCTCAGACATGACATCTCCACTGATGTCATGTAATGACATATTTTATTCATTCTAGAGTATATACACATGTATCATGTTTCAATGTTATTAATATTGTTTATTATGTCATATTAGATGAATTTTGAAAGATAAATAAGCCATAGAGTTGATATTAACATCATATTGAAGCATTATGTCCTGTCTCCAAACAATAAACTTGCCTCCCTCTCCCCTCCTTACCATTTTCCATATGCCAACAAAAGTCTTCAGTAAAGGTAAAAGTGATTTAAATGTTCATTTATCCATTTCATTAGTGCTTATATTTATTTCTCATTCTTTTCTGTATGCAAAACTACAGTTATTCTCCAAAAAATGTAATTTTTGCTAACACTTTTGGGTGTCTGAAATGGATTAATTGGATTTACATTACATCTTAAGGGGAAAATTATTTCAGTTTTCGTGATTTTCGGGTTTCGTCAGATTCTCTGGAATGGATTAATCACGAAAACTGAGGGGTCCACTGTATTTTCTTACATGTTTTTCAACTTTTTATATTTTAACAATACTCGTGGGTCAACACTCACTTATAACTTGAGCAACATTGTTCCTCTGTGCTTAGGTTGCCTCTGTGGTGCAACCTCATTGCACCTACCCTTCTTGCAGGCCCTCTCTCTCTCTCTCTCTTTCAAACTTTCTCCTGCATGCAAGCACTGTAGTGCTGCTCTCTCTCACATACTACAGATGTAGTCTGATCCTCATCAGCAGCTGGATCTTGAAACTCACATTGACTCAGATCTTCATGGCCAGAATCACAGCTTGTTTTCCTTTAACCCTTTGACTGTCGTAAGCCCCTTTCTGAAACTGTCATTCTATGTCGCAAAATTTTTGGAAAAAAAAAAATTTTTTTTCTTGTGAAATGATAGAGAATCTTTTCCCGATGGTAATGACACCAAAAGTACGAAATTTGGTCAAAAACTCGTGGAATTACGCTCCCGCGAAGTTAGCGGTCTCGGTGACATATACACATTGGCGATTTCGCTGACTTGAGCCCTGTTTTTGGCCAATTCCGTTGTTCCAGTTGACCATACTCATAGCTACTTCTTTAGAGCTCCATTTTTTTCTATCAACTGAGTACAAGAAACCACCCATTTACCAATCTGAATTACCCAGTAAAGTGGTCAGAAATTGGCAATTTGGCAAATTTCACACAAATTAAAAAAGATGCCAATTTCAAAATAGGGTCCCGAATAAACAATGTAGACATTTTTGGCACTAAAATAACATATCCTCTGTTCATTAGTCACATCTCTAGGCCCCTCTTATATTACTATTGCTTTCTATTTTGATTTTTTATTCATACAAAAATACAAAATTTACTGTTATGCAGACTACTGCATTATTGATAAAAATGGTATAAATAATATCG